ACAAACCTCTACATGGGCAATATCCAGAACGAGGCTAATAAAGACGATGGTGATAAAGTTAACCCTCATCGATGGTTACGAGCATCAGGATTAAATGCTGAAAAGGAAGGTTTTATTCTTGAAGCGCAAGACCAGAGTCTTTTTCATTAAAAACTTTCAGGCAAATATCATACTTAATAGTATGGATCCAAAATGTATCCGCGTCCTGGGTAAGACGATAAACTGCATCCGCGTCCTGGATAAGACGATAAACTACGTCCAGCAGCAAGGCCTCTGATCAGGAGGTTTTAAGGAGCGTTGAACCACCTCTTAATTGATGGTGTTCCCAGGTCCACCCTGACCCGGGGTGGTAGCACCTGTTAGGGTCCCAGCTATGGGCAAATAGCTGACCTCCGCAACCTGACTCAAAATACTATGAAAGTGTAAAAATAAATTTTAATACCAGAAATACTTTTAAAAAATTAGTATCAGCAATAAATATTTGAAAAAAGAAAATATTACCAGAAATAAAAATCTTGTCAGCATTGACTTTAATAAGCCACAAAACAAAACAAACTATTCATTTTTTTAAAAAAATATTACCATCTATACATTTTTGGGAAAAAAGGATTTTGTCGGCATTAAATAACCCATTGTGGTTGATATGCCGTAAAAAAAAAAAAAAAAAAAAAAAATACATGTTCTCTGACAAATATCAAGAAAAAATAGACCATCTGATCTCAGAATGTTAAGTACTTGCGCCAAATGAATATAAAAATCTTCACGGTAGAATAGTGCAATATCTACATTGAAGAATGTGCAAACACTTTGGAAAAGATGTTAATAAACATTGGTATGAACATCAACCAGCACCGGTTACAGAAATGGAAGACATCACAATTCTATGCGATTACACCATCTTTACAGAGAAGGAAGATTGAATCAAATAGGCCGGACATAACTGTCAAAAAAACGAAAAGAAAAAAAAAACTTGCCTGCTAATTGACATGGCTTCTCAGCGGACTGTAACATAGCAACCAAGGAATTTGAAAAACTATCGAAGTATAAAGACCTGGGAATCAAAATAAAAAAAAATGTGGAAATTGGAAACAAGAATAATACCAGTCATGGTAAGAGCGCTTGGAATGATAAAAAAGGAACACAACAATACATTGAAGAATCACTGGATTCCCCAGTTTAAAAGAAATACAAAAAAAAATGCCTTGATAAATACAACCCACACACTCAGAAGAAAATGTAAAGATAGTGATGTGATGGAAGTTGAAAAAAACAAACCATGAAATGTCGCCATAACCACAGACCTAGGTCTCCCCGCAGACTTGTTTGGTAGTGTGACCACAGCACAAATCGAAATATAATGATGATGATGATGATGATGATGATAATTATAATAAAATAATAATAATCTTAAGAAGAAAATAATAATAATAATAATAATAAACGATGGCAAGATAAACCACTTCACGGTGAATACCCTGCCCGTCCCAAATAAGTTGATGTAGACAAACCTCGTACCCATCAGTGGCTAAGTAGTGCAGGGTCTTCCCGCAGACTTGGTAGGTAGTGTGACCACAGCAGAAATCAAAATATAATAATAATAATAATAATAATAATAATAATAATAATAATAATGGAGTTTCTGATGGATGCAGAAATAAAGTAAAGCGCAATGCACCGATTGAAGCTAAAAAAATACATAAAAAAGAAAGCAGAAACAAATGCAACCGACCAGATACAGAAACAATGGCAAGATGAACCACCTAATGGCCAATACACTGCCCGTACCAAACAAGATGATGTAGACCCATCAGTGGCTACGTAGTGCAGGGTTAAAAGCTGAGATGGAATGTTTTATCCTTGTTGCACGGGATCAGTGCTTGTTAACTAGAAATTATCAAGCACACATACTAAAATATTGTGTTAGCCCAAAATGCAGGTTCTGTGATAAATACCCAGAAACAATTTATCATCTTGTATCAGGTTGCACGGTATTGGCACCCACTGAGTCTAAACCCCGGCATGACAGAGTTGGCCAATATCTGTACTGGAAAGTCTGTAACTTCTACGGGAAGGAAACTGAAAGAAACTGGTATTAACTATACCCAGAACCGGTTACGGAGATAGGACCCCGTTACAATTTTATGGGACTACACAATACACAGAGACAGAAAAATCAAAGCCAACCGCCCAGACATTGTTATTAGAGACAGCAAACAAAAAAAAATGCCTCCTTATTGATATGGCAGTACCTGTTGACTGCAATGTATCTTTGAAAAACTTCAAAAACATATCAAAATACATGGACCATGAAATCGAAATCTCAAAAATGTGGCACATGGGAACATCAACAATCCCTGTCGTAGTTGGAGCCCTCGGATTGGTTGAAAAACATTCCAATAGACTCACTGAAGGGATTCCTGAAAGTCCGTGCCTTAAAGAAATACAAAAAATTGTTCCCACGAGTACAGCCCACACCTTACGAAGGGCTTTATCTATGTAAAATATAAGGTTTTTTTTTGGAGGGGGGTGTTTTTTTTTAGTTGGTCAGTGGAAAATGTCATGATACCATTTCTAAACTTAGGTCTCTGGAAGGGACACGAAAAGAAATGTGTACACACCAGAAATCAACCGAAATATAATAATCATAATAATAATAATAATAATAATAATATGTGGCATATGGGAACATCAACAATCCCTGTTGTAGTTGGAGCCCTAGGACTGGTTAGAAAAGATTGCAGTAGACTAATTGAATACAGCCCACACTTTACGAAGGGCTTTATCTATGCAATTTTTTTCTTTTATTTTTTTTCTTTTTCTTTTCAGTGGAAAGTGTCATGATGCCATTTCCAACCTTAGGTCCCTGTTGTGGGACCCGGAAAGAAATGTGTAAACGCCAGAAATCAAAGAAAATAAAAATAATAATAATAATAACCCATTATTCCATTTTTTTAAACATTACCCCCTTCAGTGTTAATCAAAATTGGTAGGCGGATTTAAAATTTAAAGTAACCCAATCCGTAAAAAAATGGACAACAGTTTAAATACATTCAGAATCCTAGCTTAGTAGGTGTTAATTAAACTAAAAACTCTATGAAACTTTCTAATTATAAAATCAAGAGACCTACCCCAGACTTTTGCCCTATGGTACATGTTATGGGATCTTACCCATAATAATAATAATGGACTATTCCATACTTAATAAATACTGCGCCTCAGGAATAGGCAAGTAGTCAATTGAGTCAGTAGTTCAAGGAGTCAGTCGTTCCAGTCGAGTCAAGAGTCGAGTCAGAAGCAGTCCGAAACAGAGTCGCGTTCAGACAATTACTGCAAGACATTGGAATAGTGATACTAGTCGAGACTACATTGTTCTTTCCACTAAACCTGATTGTTCATACTATAACACTTCTACTTCTCTGTATATATTCCTGTTTGTAATATATTTGTGTTATTCCATATCCGTGTTCGGGTTCTTCTTTATTGGTTCTACCTTGGACTATCACCGTGGTACAAGGGACCGGACCATAACAATGCATAATACACACACGCGCACACATATATATATATCACGTGGCCGAGTGGTTAGAATGTTCGCTTTCTGACCATTAGACCCGGGTTCGAATCTCACCATGGTCTATTTGTCAGGAAGGAGACTGCCTGATGTTATCGGTCGAGGAGGACGATCTCAGCGTGTGGCACCTTTGGAAAGTGCCTGAAAACCAAGCCTTGTGAGTTAAATGGGGTAGACGGAACACTTGGGGCCGCCGATAGCTGTGCTAGCACGAAGTCAGAAGTCATTGTGACCGAGGGTTTCAGTGCGTTAGTGTTGCTCAGAATGTTGATCATTCTAGATAACACGCATTCTCCCAAGGTTCTCCTAAGGCCTGCTCAGCATAGTTGCAGTATAAACCACAGGTGGGCTCTGTGGGTGTTGAATAAACACAAATGCGCCTGAACAAGCGTCTGCAATAGGGATTGCCGCCCTAGAAGACGAGTATCCTCGAATAAGAGTGACTAGCTATATATATATATATATATATATATATATATATATATACCCAAGTATAGGATTAGTGTATACGGAATAAATTCCAATAACCAACAAATACTATTCTTAAAAGAGTGCTCAATACAGAGCAGAGCAAATATGATTATTTATTCGAAAATTGTAACATAAATATGTTATAAAATCACTACAAAAATAGACATTTTGTTTCAACACTTCTGGTGTTTTGTCAAGTGATGATGTTGAATGTAGAATAAAGATTTTTAAAAGGTTCAAATAAACCAAACACTCCTCGGTGGAGGATCTCTCCTATCGAGTGGTGTTCGGGTTATTTGAATTTGTTATAACTTTTGAATAAATTCTCTCTCTCTCTCTCTCTCTCTTTCTATCTATCTATCTATCTATATATATATATATATATATATATATATATATATATATGTATATGTCATGAAATGGACAAAGTCCGACAATTATTTTAAGACATTTTTATGTTTCTACATTCTTTTTTATGGATACAAATAATTAAATAAATGGTCTGTTTATAATAAAAAAGTATTAACGACATTTAGCTCGGTAAATGACGTTAATACTTAAATATTTATATCTATAAAAAAGAACGTATAAATATAAAATGTCTTTATATATATATATATATATATATATATATATATATATATATATATATATATAGATAATATTATATATATATATATATATATATATATATAGATAGATAGATAGATAGATAGATAGATAGATAGATATATATATATATAGATAGATATTAGCATTTATATAGATAGATAGATAGATAGATAGATAGATAGATATATATATATATATTGAGAGAGATATTAGCATATATATATATATATATATATAGGTAGATAGATATTAGCATAGGTAGATAGATAGATAGATAGATAGATAGATAGATAGATAGATAGATATTAGCACACACACACACACACACACACACACACACACACACATATATATACATATTTAGATAGATAGATAGATAGATAGATAGATAGATAGATAGATATTAGCACAGACACACACACACACGCACACATACACACACATATATATACATAGATAGATAGATAGATAGATAGATAGATAGATAGATAGATAGATAGATAGATATTAACATCCGAAAGCTGCATAGTATTGTGTAGCATTCCTTCTTGGTGGAAAGGATAACTGAGAATTTCGAACTCAGGATGTGGTTTCCCGATTTCAAATCATCAGACAACTTGCAACCACAAGTGTGTGCAGTAATATCCAAGATAAATTACTTTCAATATATAACCAGCAACTCTATGTTTCGAGAGAGAGCGAGAAAAAACAAACACTATACAATTTTTTAAAAAAGCCATCCAACGAGTGAAGCATGATGGTAGACTCATTATTATATTTGGGTTGACTTAGCTCAGCGGGCACCGGGAAAACTCACTAAGACAGACAGGGAAATGGATTCTTGAAACAGCGGTTCATTTTTCTGAGAAATCCTTTTACCTTCGCTTGCTCACCTTAGACATAGTAATCAATTCATCTTCCCACAAGACTACGACCTGAAACATAATTTGAAAACCATCTCAGAGTGGTTTAAGAAGAATCGGTCGGTCGATCAAACCTGTGAATTTCTTGTAAAGATTCACACGTTTATCACGCTGGATAGGGCTGGTGTACTTTCAGTAGAAAATGGGTTTTACGGGGGTTAGAATTGCCAGGCTCACGTTTTGAATTCAGAGTTGTTCTTCAAACTATACCGCTTGCTAACCAAAGCTAATCGCTCTGCTGAACTATTTCTTACGGCTCATATAAGAGTAAGTGTCGTTGCCGCCACTGTGGTTTAAGTTAATGTCGCGCCAGGAAGTTTTTCTCACCTGAGTGCATCCTTCAAATCTATAAATCAACCATTCGCCCTTGCATGAAATATTGCTGTCATATATGGTCTAGGGCCCTCGCTGTTTGTCTCAGGATCCTCGACAAAATCCAGAGACGGATATGCAATGTAATTGGCCCTGATCTGGCATCCCGTTTACAGTCGCTCTCTCACAGACGCGCCGTCGCCTCTCTCTGTCTTTTTTTTACAAATACATGGTAATTGCTCCGAGGAGCTGCATTCGCTAGTTCCCAGACTTCATGAATTCAAGCGCCCTACGAGGCTGGCATCCCGATCTCACCCTTTCACTGTCGAAACTATTAAATGTAGCCGTCTCTTCTACTCCAATAGCTTCATGTCTCACACTTCCCGTCTGTGTAACTCCCTTCCTCTTACTTGCTTACCATAATAGTTATAATCTTCAACTATTCAAATACAATATCAATCGACATCACCAGATGCCTTAATCTATTCCCCGTTCTTCTCTTTATCCTCTGTCACGCCTCGTTACTCTTGCTTCCACTTTCGGTGACCCCATGCGTACTAGAGGCATTCCTGCCTTGCCTGGGGTGAAAAGTTTTTAAAAAAATGGTGGGAATGTCTCTGGTTTCAATATTTTAAAAAAACGCTAGTAACGTTTCATCACCACCGACCAGAACCTAAATTTGCTCCTCGTTTGCCTCGAACGTCTGTGGGCATTAAGGCTTATTTCAAATCTCAAATGGAACTCGTCTTTTTATCACTATCGCTAAAGATATTGTATCGTCCCAGAAAGAACCTAAATCTTATTGCCATGCTCTAACTTTACAAGAATTTGCACAAACCAAAAACAGATTATTGCTTCCATGGCCGGAGTAATGAACGGAAAACGCAAGCAGTCGCCCTTCGCGCCATCAAAACCGAGGGCACCAAAAATGGAATATTGTTTCCAAGGCCGGATTAATGAACTGGAAACGCAAGCAGTCGCCCTTCGCGCCATCAAAGCCTAGGGCACCAAAAATGGAGTATTGCTTCCAAGGCCGGATTAATGAACTGGAAATGCAAGCAATCCTCTGTCGCGCTATCAAAGCCGAGATCACCAAAAATGGATTAATGCTTCTAAAGACAGATCAATGAACTGAAAACGCGCCATCAAAGCTGTGGGCACCATTATGCCGCTATGTCATGTGCTTGGGATCTTTCATAACTAAAGTATATAAAAATATACTTGAAGTCATCCATGACTCAAGACAGATCAAATTCTTTGGCTATTTTGTCAATAGAAAATCATCTTAAAAAAGAAGAGGGAAAAAAAAGAAAATGGCATGAAAAGATTTATAGATCTAAAGACTAGAAAAATGTTTTAGGTAGCATAATGAAAGCTTATTTTTAGCCTGTATTAAGTTGTACAGCGCGAGGCAGAGTGGACTGACGTTTTTGACGGTTTTAGCCAATTCAAAAACGTCCGTCCTGTATATTCTAATAAACTAATATTCTAATAAACTAATATTCTAGTAAACTAATATTCTAATAAACTAGTAGTCTAATAAACTAATTATTCTAATAAACTAATATTCTAATAGACTAATATTCTAATAAACTAGCATTCTAATAAACAAATACTCTAATAAACTAATATTCTAATAAACTAATATTCTAATAAACTAATATTCTAATAAACTCGTTATTCCTCATGTTCAGTTTTTTCTCCTTGTGAAAATTTACAAAATAATTATACTTGTATTTGCGCCGGAGTTAACCATGTTTGCCGTAGTCTTTGAATATGAAATCCAGTAAAGTACGTAATGCGTTCAAAATCAGATGTTGGCAGTGAAGATATTTTGGAGAAAGTAGCAGCTGTTAAGTAATTCTTTACGTTTTCGATATCAGAGGTTGGCAGTGAAGATATTTTTGGGAGAAAAAACAAAATGGCTGCCTTTATACACGTCGGATTGAATATTTTGAGCTTTCTGATTGGTTAAACCTTCTATTGGTGAACTATAAAATGAGTCAGATCATTTTGGCTATCTCACTAGTAGCAACGTACCCAAAAATTCTAACAATCGGAATTCAGCTTGCTCAGGATTCCAGCAACCTTAGCGGCTGTCACTGATTTCTACCATATTCATAACAGTTTATTCTATCGCAATTCTCGTTTGTGGAACTCTCTTCCGGCTTCTTGTTTCCCGGTCAATTTTAATCCAAAAAAAATTAAATGTAATATCAATGGCTATATGCTGTCTTAATTCTTATTCTTTGATTGTCCTCTCTCCTTAATTGTAGTATTTCTTATATTCTTTAACGTTCAATACTCTCTTGCGTCCTAGTGGCTTTATTGCCTTACTTGGGGTGGGGTGAAATGATTAAAACAATATATATTCAGGTGTGTCGTTCAGCCTAGCCATTGTTCAAAAGCGATTAAAAGCCTCTGTGAATTATTTTCTATCCAACATCCAAAATATTACTAGCTTCTTGCTATTTATCGCTATTAACATTACAAATGCTCATGCAAGCTACATACTTAGGTCTTATTAGTATATAATAATATATAATATTGATATGCAGTAATGAAGTGTATCTTACTGATATATATTGTATTATTTGGTTTGATTAAGTGGTATTTGAAAATTTATCTTAGTATTATATTTAAGGAGTTTATATATTTTTATGTATTTTTTTATTATTTTTATTAATATTTATTATTTATTGCTTTTTATGTAATATTAAATATATTATTTTTAAAATTTACTATTAATTAAATTAATATATTTATATTTATTTATTATATAGTGTTATGTTATAAAATTTATTCTAAAGGCACTTCTTATATATTAGATAAATATTAACTGTTTTTCCTTGTAGATGGGAATTATTTAATATAGTTTTAATTTAAAATATGCTGATTTAAATGTAGGTGTTAAATTAGATATTTCTTCCTAAGATTATATTTTAATTTCAATATGTTAATTTTTATATTTTTCTTATTATTTTTTAGGATATATTTTTTATCTTAGTATATCTTTAATTCTGGATTATCTCTCTTTCATATAAATGGGATTATCTCCTCATTTAATATAATATTATTTTTGTTTATAGCTTTAAGAAGGTTTTTAATATCTAAACTACCTTCTGATTGCTACTGTGCATAAAATAAATAGTCATTTCTTTTCTCTTTTTTCTCCCTTTTTTCTCATTTCTCCTCTGACCACCCCTCATATACAGACTTACACTACTTTCGAGTTTTGTTTTTTTCTTTCTTTTTTTACTCCCTTTTTCTCCTTTTCCTTTTTTTTTTTTCTCTCTTTTTCTCTCTTTTTCTTTCTTTCATCCTTCTGTCCGGCCATTTTTTGAATAATTTATCATCCATTGACTGACTGGTTTGAAAAATCCTTTGAAATTTTATTTTAATTTACAAGGTGAAAATTATACTTAACCTTAACATTCTTATTGGATAAAATATGTTACTCTGTTTAATTAAAACATTGAGCTCCATGTGTGAATCAGTTTCATATATTTAATATTTTATATTGTTTTAATAAGATTCACTTGGATTATATACCAACGTATTATTACATCTCTCTATTTTCTCTCTCTCTCTCTCTCTATCTATCTATCTATATATATATATATATATATATATATATATATATAATAAAAAATATATATATATATATATTATGGATTGGAATCAGTAAAAACATTTTAGAGATAGATAGATAGATAGATAGATAGATAGATAGATAGATAGATAGATAGATAGATAGATAGATAGATGCTAAAGCATGAAAGACTGTCACCACTGAGTGTTGACTTCAATGCCCACTTTTATATTTACATACATTTATCATATATATATATATATATATATATATATATATATATATATATATATATATATATATCAAATATGTGGTGCAGTTCAATTTATATTACAATGAATCATTCATACAAAAAAGTAGATCAGTAAAGTTAATGATATAAAATGGCGAAATCCCTTCGCAAACAAAGCTTTTAACCTACAGATCACTCGATGAATTTTATGATCCTTGTTTTTAAAAAAATTAAGCTGTAAGGTCTTTCTTTAATACGTAAGTACTTTCGACTGTACATTCAGTTATCTTCAGGCATGGAAATTATTTTGTTTTTGTTAAAATTCTTGTAGCATCCGGGACAAATAAAATGTAATGCGGATCGAAATATGTTGTTTTTTTTTTAAATGTGTTATTGTTAACGGATACAAACTTTTGGACCGTGCAGTCACAACGTTATGGTTGAATTTTTTATCATTAACTTTACTAA